ATATCCATACTCTCGCTCAACTTCGAAGGCCACACGTCAGGCATGCCGTGATCGTCAACTTTGATCTTCGGCTTGACGTCCTCGTCTGACTGCTCCGACACTCGGCCACACAGGATGTTCATCGCATGGAGGACGCCTTCTGACCCCAGCTCGGCCTCGTACTTGAGGTCCGAGACTTTGTACCATGTCTCGCCCTTGCGCAGACAGAGACGGCAGAAGAGGTACTTCGCGCCGTCTGTGATACGCAGGATGAACGTCGTGGTGGACTCGAAGGGACGAACGGGTACGTACAGGGCAGCTTGTGCCAAGCCATGAAGCAAGACAGTTCTTCTAAAGTAAACAGCTTGGATTCCGTCGAGATAACTTCCTTAAGCATGTCTGAACGCGGTTGGGCGCGTAAGCCACGCGCGACGCCTGGTGATTGTGGGACGCACCTTCGAAGACGGTGACATACATGGACCGTCCGTCATATTCGCGATCATTCGTTTCCTCTTCCCCGATGCGGTTGGGATGTGTGGAGGAGGAGGCACTTGAGGGAGAATCCGCGTCGGCCCCTGACCAGTATACAAGTTTCGCAGCGGTGGAGGCGGAAGGCGATCCAAGCACCATAGTCGCGTGTTCGTGGGGTCTTCGCGCGGGTATGCTGAAGTGTTCGTTGAGTCGGGAGCGTAAGGGTATATGTCGCGAACTTGAGCAGCGCAGAGTGCATGCGACGGCCACTCAGTGCTACTCGTGCATAGGTACAGGACAAGACGCGACTTGCAGTTAGCGCCAGGCTTGTTTGAGTGCCTCGTGACTGTGACGTGCGCGGTGTTACGTACGTGGAAGTCACGCTGGTGACGCCACCGCAGGCCTTGGGCGAACTGGATCGGAGACCGGAGCGGAGGGCGATGACACGGCGGCTGCTCCTCCCCGCCACTCCTGCACTTCTCGGCCATGCTTCACTGCATGTATCCGCCTACTTATACAGCCCACCCCACAGGGGTCCAGTCTAGCACTTGCCTTTCTCCCCTTCGCCGTAGGCGTCCGAGCCCACCATGTCTCTCGTCCTCCACGCCCCCCGTCCTCGGGCCAACCACTCTCAGCTGCTCGACTGGGATGCTGATGAGCTCACAAGCGTGGCGAGGCAGCTTGCGAGTCCAGATGTCATTGTATGCACCGTTCTCATCTCGATGCAGACCGGATTTAAATTGTTGATTGACCCCTCCTCCCCCTCTGCGCAGATCAAGCCCAGAGAGCTGCACCTCGCGTTCAACTGGGGCATCCTTCGCTCGCGCAACTTCAGCCGCTTCCGCAAGCTGAAGCTCCCGCCCGCAGGGCCGTCGCGGAGAAAGATGCCCGCTATGTCGCGCTCGAGCACCATGACCTCCGTCAGGACAATGTCTATGACCCTTTGCGCGGACGTCAGCGTCCTCATCACGCACCCTGTCCGGCGCGAGACCACCTACATTGTCTGGGGCGCGATCATGGCCGTCGAATCTGCGAACACCAACGTTCCTCCCCGCAACGTGCTCGTGAAGATCGCTGTGGACGAGGAGGGCGGCGAAGACCTGCGCGAGGATGCTCGTCTCCACGAGAACCTCGCCGAGCGTGGCCTCACAGGCTACTACGGCATCTTCACCGACAGCATTGGAAGCACGGCGTTGGTCATCGACGACTTCGATGACGACCGCAGGGAACTCGAGACACCCACACCTACCCCATGACCCCGGAGCAACTGCTTTCGGTATGCCGCAGCTTATCGTGTCATTTCCGGCACCTCAGCTTACATCAGTCTACTCAGCAGTCATGGCATGATCGACTACCATAGGCCCTGTATAATACCATCAGATACCATCGACCTAACCACACTCTTTTCTTCGTTCGGACCTTGCCCCACATATGCTCTGTATACCTTTCTGCGCTGACATTCCTTACCCGGACTTATAGATAGCATACTGCCCACTCTTACGGTACCAAATCGCACTCAACTGTACTTGTACTCTTCGACTTTGAAACAATCTGACATGACTCGTAATGTTAACGCAAGAAGCAAGAAGGATACATATGCATAACACTATTCGCAGAGGTAAGACAATCGCACACACATAGACTCGTCACCACAGCATGCATCACAGGTCATCGAACACCAATGACCACCAAAACATCGTGACTACCACTCAAGTCCGCGCCCAAACAGCGCACAGGTCCACTCAATACCCCCTCCTCAGCCTCTCATTCTCCTCCCTCAGCATCCGGTTCTCCTCCCTCAACGCCTTCAACTCCTCCGCAAACTCACCCATCGCCTCCCGCATGTCCCGCCTCCAGCTCCCGCCCATCCGGATCAAGTCCAGATGCAGCCCTACGATCTCCTGCTTCGTCTCCTGCCGGAAGTCGTGCAGCGCATCCCGCAGCAGCGCCTGCAGCATGTCCTGTGCCGCGCGGGCCTGCGGGGACGGCGGCGCAGCGGGGTTCCGCAGCGGCGACGGCACAGGGGCCCACGACGTCGACCCCCGTGCGCGCGCGGGGCTGGGGCCTGCGAACGAGCGGCGCGGCGAAACTTGCATTGCCAAGTTATCGCGCGTGAGGCGGTTCGTGCTCGTCCGCAGGGGCGCGTCGTGCTCTGATTCCGAGTCATCCGAGTCGTTGCTCGTCTTGCCGTTGGCACGGCCAGGATCCTCCTCCGCGTCCGAGTCGCTGTCTGCGCCAGACGCAAATCCAACGCGTTTGCCGTCCTTGGCTTTGGCCTTCCCCTCACCGGCCTTGACCCACTCGTCCACCTCCGGCGTCCCGAGCCCGAGCGCTGCGCGTTCCTTCCCCTTGGACATGACCTTGTATCCCGGGATCGGCGTGACAGGCCCGCCATCGTCCTCCATGTCTGGCAAGTCCGGACTTGGCGTCCGCGATAGCCGCGAGATTGCTGAGGAACCCGATACACGCCTCCTCTGCGGCTGAGCAAGTGGTGGGGATGCGGAACGGGATGAAGTGCCCGAGACGGTGCGTGTAGAGGCCTTGCTCGCCCGTCCAGCTGTACTAGCCGATGATGCAGGCCGGGTACGCGGGAGGGCCGCTGAAGCGGACTATCTGCGACGGAGACACGAGACGCAGCCGATTCGGTGCGCGTGTGAGTGCGGGCCTTCGTGTTCCCAATTGCTTGTGCGCGCGAGGAGGCACGAGATAGCACAGAGGGCGCCCTGGACACAGCCGACACTGGAGGCTCGTCTGCTGAGACTGCAGGTTCCTTGGCCTTTGGAAGGGTCAACAGGTTTTCAACTTGCACTGCGTTGAAGAAGGTCGGTCAATGGACACGTTCAAGGAGAAGTTGCGGAAAACCCCACCAGACAAGTCGCCCTCATCTTCGTCATCCTTTTCGTCAGCGACGGTTACAGGGGCCTTCGGTGGTGAGAATGCCTTCTTCTGCGCCTCGCTACGGGTGCCTACAGGAGACTTGACGGCTGTGACACCTGCTCTCCGTGCACCAGACAACACTCTGCCCGCAGGCGACCCACTGGACTGCCCAGTCGAAGCTGACCTGGTGACCGTTCGCCGAGGGGTAGTCGATGTGAGAACACCCCTCGTCTTCGCCGCGGGCTTGTCTTCGTTTGCCTTTTTGGCATCTATGGGAGGTCGACGACCGGCAGGGGCAGCCTTGTTCGTGTCGCGTTGGACGAGAGGTTTGGTAGCTGCGGCTGCGGTTGTCTTGGGCGCTTGTGCCTCTCCGGGCTTCAATTTCTTCTACAGCAGGAGTCAGAGAGTCGGCAGCAGGACACATGGTGATAGTCAAACGTACCTGAACAGAAATCGCGATCACTTGGTCGCCGTTCTCACTGACCGTAACGGACTTCGGTGGCTTGTCGAGCGCACGGAGGTCTAGGACCAAGAGCTTGCCGTTCTCCGTGCCGGCGTACAGAGCGGCACCCTCGGCTGAGAATGAGAGGCACGTCAGGGGAGCAGGCATATGGACCATTCGGAACAAGCTACAGGGGTGTCAGGTTAGGACAAGAGACAACCATCACGGAAGACGCCGCGACGCACCCCTTCTCCTTCTCGAGATCAAGCAGGCCAACTGCTCCTCCACTGCAAGCAACCGCGACGAGCGTCTTGCTGAACGGGCTGCAGGTGATTGCTACGATGGATCCAACACTCTTCTGGTCCTTGTCTAAAGCGACAGCTTTGGCTGGGCCGGACGGGCGGGTGGTGTCATACACAAGCAGCTGCGAACCAAGTCCAACCAAGAGACGGGTTCGCGAGTGCGGGTGAAACGCACAGGTGGTGATGCTTCCGCCCCAGCAGGAATACCGCGTAAGACGGTGTGTGACGCAAGGGTCAAATTATGTACATGGATCGCATGTGAAGAGGTGGATGCAAGGAGAGAAGAGTCGTTCGAAAGCGAGAGGGACGTAACCGGGGCTTTGTGTGTATCGAATGTATGTGTGAGCTTGCCTGTCTGAGTGGACGCAAGCAGGACCTTCTGTCCTCGTGCATACACGATGGTGCTTCCGCGATCCTTGGTGAGCAGGGAGATGGCAAGATCGGAGCCTTGCTCGGTTATCGGGGTGTCTTGGAGAGATCCGGCGGTGAGGTCGTACTGCATGATGCCGCTAGTGCCAGAGGCAAGAAAGACCGAGCTACGTTCTGCACTCCAGGCAAGTCCGGAAGGCAGGGAAGGTACGGGACATGTGGGTTCCGCGGTGGCTGGAGGATGCTTCAGGGCGGAGGTTTCGAGTACGACGAGGTTCGTCGGGGTGAGGATGGCCGCCATCGTGAGGCCGTAAGGGGTCGTGAGTTCGTGATATCAAGCCAGCCGTACAGATCGCCGGTAGGGAAGTGTCGAAGTCCGGATGTGAGTAATTCGCGGATGGATGGAGGACGGAAGAGAGCCCGTTGGTGGCGCTCCCATGTTCATGTTCATGTTGGCGCCTGAGCGACGCGTTCTCTCCCTCGTGACCGCGTAGATTCTCCCCTCAAATAGGGCTGCCCCTCTGCTCGGTCTAGACAATGCAGACGAGTGCAGCAAATGAGCCATCGTGGCGCAATGGTAGCGCATCACCTTCCTATGATATCGGCGTTTCATTGGACGCGAGGTGGGGGTTGCGGGTTCGATCCCCGTCGGTGGTAGAGGTTAAATCATCCCTATTGGCTTGCTTTTTCGCATTGAACGGTCCGAAACCAAGTGAGACTCAGATACGCAAGAGACAGCAAGAGCAAACGACTAGCGATAAGGATTCGGAGGGCTAGGTGAGCCTTTAGCGCTTAGCACTTGAGGTTGAGCTTCAGGGATCTTGGAACCATCACGTAGCCATGCATCAAGGGGTCCTGCGGGGCAAGCATTCGCTCTCCGGCTGCTCTGAACTCCACAACACCACGGGGAGTCGTCTGCCCCCTTCAAACGTTTCTCCTTATATTCGGGAGGAACGACTGTCTTCCACTGACTTATTAGAGGTTGGTTTGCGAGGCAGCAGCGAGCCTACAGAAGACACACAGTCGCCGGCTGAAAAGTACCCACTGGAGCGACATAGACAGTGGGATGAAGAAGGAAGAGTGCACATACAAAGCTAACCACATGCAAAACTGACGAGAGGATAGAGTGTACAGGGTCGTGCATGTGCCACTTAACGACGTCCATTCACTCCGAGTCGTCTCCCTCCGACTTCGACTTCTCGTACTGGTCGACACTGGTTTGTTCGAGGAGGCTGTAGCAGTTGATCCTAGTAAGCATATGACCATCGGGTGCAATCAACGCTGAACTCACTTCTCGAGAGCTTGCCGATCAACAGGTGGACTCTGCCCGTCGCCGATCAGGAGCCTTACTCCTCTGCTGGGCACGCCGTCGACGACGACGTAAATGAAGCCGGGGCCGGGAGGGTAGATGTTCCCGTTCGGCGGCGCGGTGATCGTGAGCGTCGACTTGTCATCGGACAGAGAGTTCTCGAGATAAACCAGGCGCGAATTGGCGTGCACCGCGTGTGTCACGTAGCCCAAGTCCATCAGCGCGACTGCGAAGCCGTGAGAAGGTTATAGGGAACATAATCCACGGGAGGCGAGCGACTCACCTTTAATGCTGGTCCCTTGGACAGGTGTCGAAGGTAGTCGAATCTTGAACTGCGCGGTCTGTCCGAATCCGAGCAACTTGGGGACTCCACCAAGGATCTGCGGCCGCTCCTGCTTCAGGTACGACGGCCCAAGCCATTCGACGCGATACTCCGTGCCGTACTTGACTTCGCTTCGGTCCAGGTTCGGATTGCTCCCAGCAATCATGATGTCGCCGTCGGGTGTGAGCGTCGCGACCGAGTGGTACAGGCGAGGAATGTCGCTTGTGGGCATGCCGGCCGAGGAAAATCGCTGTCCGACGGGGCCGTTCGGGTCGTAGAGGACGGGTGTGAGCACCGGGTTGTCCGCGTTTGACGCGCCAACCTGGTTGACGACGTTGCCGTAGCCAGAGATGCCAGAGCCAGCACCGTTCACGATGAGCACGTCGCCTGTGGGTAGGAGAACTGCGTCGGGCATCGTCCGCGCTTGTGGCATCTGCTCGACTTGCCAGCCAGCCGCGATGCCAGCATCCGTGAGGACGATCCGCGAGCACTGAGATGAAGCCGGATCCTGTGAGGAGATCTCGTAGCCGGGCTTTGTGTCGTCGATCGTAGACCCTCCGCAGAGCAGGACCTCGGGCGTGTAGTCGTTCTCCGGAGACAGAGGCAAGAGGAGCCCAGTTCCAGTCATGGGATACGTCACACGAACACCATTGGGAATGCGAGGTAACCTCCGTTCGGTGTTTGTCTTCCAGTCATAGATCATAGCATCTCGGTTCGCGGCCATGAACACCGTGCCGTCCGGAAGCGAGAACGCAATGGGAAACAGGTTCGAAAAGAGGGTGTCGACAAGGAAAGGAATATGAATGGGCAAGCCGTTGGACCCAGCGATGTTTTTCGGAGGGAAGTACTCGATCGTAGGGTTGTTGGTCGTTTGGTTGTTGATCCAGCCACCCTTCAGCGACCCTCCGATGATCATAGCGCTGCCGTCTGATATGCGGAGAACAGTGTTATACCAGCGCGGACTAGCCATCCGGATGCGACTGTGGTTCTCGTACATCCGACAGTCGTCGACGTTGGCAGATTCGCAAGGCTCAAAGATACGGATCGCTTGAAGTCCGTCGACGTCGCCGAAGTCAGCTGCGGCAGTGTGATCCTCGACGACCGGGTTCCCGCCGACGTTCACTAGGGTATCATTGCTGAGGAATGTACCGCCAGCACAGAAGGAGTTTGATTGCATCGACAGAGGTTTCAGAGCGTGCGTTCGGAGGTTGTAGAGTGCAGCCCATGCGGGATGGCCTGATACGGTGAGAGGGTTGTGCTCCACCTTGTCGACGATGAGAGCATGAGTCTCCGAGATGATCACCAGCTGCATCGCATGGACGCCAGTAGAGCCGTTCTGGACCAGTGTCCACTCGTCCTCCGGAATGAACTTGGAAGACAGGTCGAGGAGAGGCGGGTACGATGGCCTGTCTGAGTAGGACACCGCCATATTCTGCTGCGTGAGAGGCTCGGGCGGAGGAGGGCCCTGGGTGACCACGAGTGCATCGACGTCCATAACCGTGCCTTTGGACGTGCTGCTCTTCTCTCCCGTGTTGACAATCTTGAGCGTGTGCTTGCTCTGAGGAAGACCGAACGACCAGAAGATGCGCTGCTGGCTCATCGACGCGTTGTTGAACGTATCGACCCGCTCAACGGGTTTGCCGTCGAGATAGACCTGAGCAACTCCGTGTTTTGGGTCGAGGCTACCGAACCATTCGATGCCGGTGCCCGTGAAGGTGAAGGACATGGCGGCGCCAGACTCCGAAGTGAAGCGTGCACTCTTCTCGACGTACTTGTTGCAGAACGACTCGGACCAGTCGCCGCTGTAATGCAGGAGAGGTGAGGACGAGTCATAGCTTTTGGCTCCAGGCGGAACATAGTAGGGCGTGAACCTGGAGACCTTAGTCGAACCAGGAGTAGTGTGGCCGTGCCAGGCGGACTCCGCCGAGCAGACGGATGCGAGGAGGGCGACCAGCGTCCAGGAGAGGAGTAGAGACCGGATGCCCATCGTCGGCGGGCGTGTTTTGCGTGGGCTGGGAGGGAGACGGTGGTGGTAAGAGCAAGGGGCTCTGACTCTGAGTTGGAGGACAGCCTGCCGTCCTGAAGCTCGGGCTGCCGTCCTGCTGCCGAGCGCGATGCGATCTGGCCCAAACAACGCGTCAACAACGCGAACCCCAGCTATCGCTACCGTTAAGTAGTTACACTCTCCCCACCTGGCATGTCGTCAAGGATGTCCGCATGTACAAGCTTCCGCATCCATCTGGATGCTTCCTTTGTTTGGGGACCCTGTGACTTCTGGAATGCATACCAGTAGTCTATGGCGTCATACATAACATCAGTACACAGTCTTCGCTCATACATAAGAAACGTAGGGGCACACAACAAACCCTGCCATACATCGCAACTCTTGTTCAGACCCCTCTATCCACCATCGATCGCATACGCACGACACCATGTCCCTCGACGTTGTAGACATTCTCAAGACCGACGAAGACAACATCCGCGACCTCTACGCTAGGTGAATCCCGCATCTATGTGCACCGCACAAGAGTTGTGGCCGACGTTGCTGACGTTGCTGTAAGGTGGAAGGCCGCCGAGACCACCGACAAAATCGCCATCGGCAACACCCTCATGCGTGAGCTGATCGTCAACGGCGACGCCAAGTAAGTCCCCTCCCCCTCGAGCCTCGCTGCGATGGAAGACTCCGAACCGACCAGTACACACCCAGGGACATCTCCGTGTACAACAGCCTCGAGTACAACCTGAAACTCAAGAAGACAGCAGACATGAACCGAAGTGCGCACCACCCACCTCTCTCTGTCTTCGCCCACTGACGCGTTCGTTGCAGAGGTCCACGACCAGATCAAGCAATATGTCCTGGAGGCGGACAGAGCCAAGCCTGGCTCCCCCGAGTACGACAGCGCCATCAAGCGGGCCGTGGACTTGTTCCTCCAGCACTCCCAAGCGGAGGATCAGCAGCTAAGGCAGGCCGAGAAGAGGCTGTCGGCAGAGGAGAGCGACGTGAGTGATTGCCAACTTGTGCTGGCCTGCGTAGAACGACACTGAAAGGGAGATGCGCTCTTCAACAGAAGCTCGCCCGTGCTTTCTTGAAGGCGCGGAGAAACGCGTCGACCAGCCAACTGAGCCCGAAGGTGAGCCCAGCGACCACTGTTACAGTGACAGTGCGCTGAGTGTTGCGGATGTTCTACAGAAAGAGTTTGTCAGTGTCAAGACGCCTCTTCCCTCGGTCTGAGCGGCGCTGTCGTAGTGAAGAAGTGTATAAAATGTACCAGTAGCGACGTATCGATGCAATCCACAAGCGTGTCCTGCAAAGTGTCTGACCTTTTGAGGTCGAGCAGCTCAAGCTACTCGTACACGAGCGCGGCGACGGGATCCTTGCATATGCATATAGATTACAGGTAGTAGCGTAACAAACAGAGAAAGCAATCACATACGACGCTGCACACAACATCCACGGTACACTCAGTCCTCGCGCTGCTCCGCCCGGTCGATCTGCTGTCGTTTCCTCGAGCCGCCGCTGCAACGAAACATCAGTACGGGGTCGACCAAAGGGGACAGTACATGCACTCACACTTCAGTGTCGAGCCCACGCTTCCGCCCGCTCTTCGCCTCGTCGAGGAACTTGTCGAGACCGAAGACGTCCGTAGAGTCCTTCTCGAACTGCACAGGACCCTCCCGAACCTCCTGCTCCTGCGCACCCTCGAAGCCAACGCGAGGCGCCCCCATACCAAAGCGGTCGTTGTCGAGCGCCTTCCCGATGCCCTCCTCTGTGCCACCACCAAATGAGTCCTCGTTGCCCTCTGCGATGTTCCCGCGGGCCTTGTAGATCGCCGCCGCGGCAGTCGAGCCGTGGAACAGCGGGCGGTCGTACAAGTTGTATGTGTCGTCATCCGCAAAGTTGCCGGAGAGCGACTCCTGGTTAAACAACCGCGAGTCGAGCATGCTCTCCTTCGAGAGCGTCGGCTTCGCGAGCCCAAGCGCGATCTTCTCCGATATGTCGCGGTTCTGCTGCCGCGCGAGCATCTT